GCACCCCGCAATATCATCTGCACACAATGGGGCGCAAGGGTGGAGTCTTGTCCTTGCTGCCTGGCTGCCATGTCCTTGACTGCGCTGCTCCACGCGGGCCATGTCTGGGGGAGATAATCCTCCGGGGGGGCTGCTGGTGAGGAGGGAGCCATGGGAGAAGATGGGGATGGGGCAATGGCGCACGTGCCCACAGAGAGGGCTCCGAGTGCCGCCTCTGGCACGTGTGCCATAGGTTCGCCACCACTGACATAGTGAAAGCCCTGGATGTTTGACAGTATTTAAACATGGAATGCATATAAGTAGTCCTCAATTTACGACCACAGTTGGGATCAGAATTTCAGTTGCTAAGAAAGCTGGTCATGTCCAATTTTCCCTTTTTTGCCATCTTCGTTACACAAATCACTGTAGTTGTTAAGTGCATCACAAATCCAGTTTCTCCCATTGACTTTGCTTGTCTGACGCCAGCTGAGAAGGCCCCAAATGGCCATTACACGACTCTGGGATGCGGCAACCACCATAAATATAGGAGGGTTGTCAAGTGTCCAAGTTTTGATCACCTGACTGTGAGATGCTGCAATAGTCATAAGCGTGAGGACCGGTAGTAAGTCATTTTTTGTAGCTTCCAGTGGTCATTAAGCAAACAGTTGCAAGTCAAGTACTACCTGTATTTAAAGCCCCTAGTATGACCATCACAGGTGAGGGGAGAAGGGACAGCTTTTGTGCTTGAAGGCCTGACAGAAGAAGTTTGTGTGATCTTGTGAATTTTATCAAGTACCCAGCAGTTTTTAGCATTTACTATCTAGCACAGTGGTTCTCAACCTGTGGGTCGGGACCCCATTTGGGGTCGATCGACCATTTCATGGGGGTCGCCAAGCAAGGCTGTCCGCCATTTTTTTGTCCGCCATTTTTTTTGTCCGCCATTTTTTCCCCCTTTTCTGGCAGGTGCCTTACCTCCCTTGGGCTGGGCCAGCTGGTGGTCGGCCTGCTCCGTCTCTGCCGCTTGCCAGCTACGCCTCGGCCGGCGCAGGGGGCGGAACCACACAAGCGCGGCGCTCCCGGGCAGGGAAAGTCCTCGACTTACGACCGGTTGGGTAGGCCTCGACTTACGACCGGTTTAGTCCTCGACGTACGACCGGTTTAGTCCTCGACTTACGACCGGTTTAGTCCTCGACTTACGACCGGTTGGGGTCGCGGCATTAAAAAGGTTGAGAACCACTGATCTAGCACAGAGGTTGTCAACCTTTTCTTCACCACAGGAAACCCCCTCCCTTAAATATCTTTTGTGCCCACAGACCCCCAAGACTCAACTCAAGATATAAATCATAACATTTCTTCAAGCCTTTGCGGACCCCCTGGGATGACATTGCCCCCCCCCAGGGTCTGAGGACCACCGATTGAGAACCAGCTGCTCTAGCACTAGCATGGGTGCTTACTCCTCAGAGGAAATATAACCCACGCGACACACACCAGGGCTCCCCCCAACCTGATCCTTTCCAGCCGAGCAGGACCACAAGTCCCATCAGAGCCACAGCGGCTGTGGATGATGCAACCCGGCGCGTGGGAATTGTGTTTGCGCCAGTGGAAGGGGAGAGCTCCGGCGGTGGGATTGGAGAGGTCCGTGGACTCCGCGCACGGAGGTGCAGGAAGAGGCAGATAATCGGCTTTTACGGATTAGAGGGAGGCCCGTCTGATTCTACGGGGCAGCATCTCCTCGTCGGTCTCCGGGGGGGGGGAGAGAAGGGGAAAGGGGGGGGGCTTTCCGGGGTCCAGCACCGGAGAGCCCTGCAATAATAGGAAACCTCTCAAATGAAACATTTGCGACAGACCAACTCCTCCCTTCCTGTCTTCACCGCCCGCCAGCCAGCCAGCCAGCCTGCCTGTCTCCTGCCCCCCCCCCCCCGGCCGCATTTGTCTGCTTCCCGCCCCGCCCCGCCCCTTTTCATTGTCCTCCCCTTCTGTTTATACACAAAGACCCCCCCATCCTCCCCTTTCCTCTTTCTTCCCCCTCTCGGGCTCCGTCCTCCCTTCGCTTTCGATCTTTCCTCCCCCCCCCTTCACATTCCTTCCTTCCTCTCTTCTCTCCTCCTCCCCTTCTCTCCCCCCCTCTCTCTTTCTCTCTCTCCCGTCTCCCTTCTCCTCCTCTGAAAGGATTTTAGCAGCCGGGCGGAGGTGGAGTTGGGCGGCAGAGGATTAGAAGCGGAGGCGCTCAGAGACCGGCAGAGATTTCTTCCCCCCACCAGCTCCTCCGTCGTGCGCCTTCGCCTCGACCGCGTCTCCTGGGAAAGCAGCCGAAGGAAGAAGGAGGAGGAGGAGGAGGAGGAGGAGGCGGCGGCAAAGGATCGGAGCGCCCCAACCCTTCACCTCCAGCGAGAACCCTGACTCAGATCCGCCTAGATCCCTCCCTTCCTTTGGACTGGCAAAAAAAGAAAGAAAAAAAAAAAAGGGAAGAGAAAGCGAGGCGGCTGAAAATAAAAAATAAAAAAAAAAATCCCCTCCATTCCGAGCCAACGGACCCGACCGGCTGGAGCCAGACGAGCTTCCTCCAGCCATGGACCGAGCGAAGGATCTAGTAGTCTCTCGCCTGCCTCGGGCTTCCAAGATCCAGCGGGCTTGAAAGCGTACGTACGCCAGGGATCCATTGCTTTGCTCCCTGCTTCGGAGGATCGTGGGGAGGGGGGGGGGTATTCCTGGCGTCTAGGGGGAATCGAGGAACCAGGGGGCTTCGGTTGGGGGTTCTCCTCAGTTGGGGTGTGGGATCCCCGTCTGCTCAGCCTTCAGATCCCGCCTGATCAGGACCAGGATCAGGATCTTTGAAGCGTTCTGATCAGGATCTTTGAAGCGTTCCTCGAGAGGCGGGAAGCGGAGGGAAAGAAAGGGACTTTTTTGGCTCTCCCTCGCCTGGATGTACAGTACACGTGTTGCTCCCTTTTTGACGTTTCTACGGATCCAGCCCTAATTCTCCGGAAGAGTATTCGCCCCCGCCCCACCCCGCTCTCTCAAAAGGGTTTTTTTTCATCTTCTGCATCGCTTGTGCATATCTGGGGACGGTGAGTTCACACACACCAACGTTTTTTAAGAAGATTATTTTAAGGCTTCTTTTTCCAAATTCCTGGAAGGATCAGTTCTTGGAAGTCTCTAGTTGCACGCCATTCTTTTTTCCGGGAAAATTACCAAGCGGCAATTCATCTTTTGGGCTCCTGGATTCCAAGTGAAGACTTGGTCTTCCCCATCGGCTGGTTCGGTGCCTTTTGGCTTTCCAGAATATAAAAGTTGGCTTGTGGTACCAAGCAAGGCGCGCTCGGTGTTGCCTTTTGTTCCACCAGTGGGTTTTTGTAGATCTTTGAACAGCTGGAATTAACGTGAAATTCCGAAGCTCGGATTCTGGTAATGTTTAAATTATATTTATCTTGTTGACCTTCCTCTCGCAAGCCCCTTCCTGTCCAACTTTGGGGGGTTTCTTCGGACCCACCCAGAATCTCTTTTCTTTCACACCTTCCGTTTCCTCCAAATTTGCTTTTGAAAATTCTAACGTTTATCACTGTTGCTACATTTCTTGTAAATACACCGAAGTCTGATTTCTGCCAATGTGCCAGTTATGGGTTCTTGAAACCACCTCCCCAGTCTGGCTTCAGATTAAAAAAAACATGCCCCCTCTATTACTCTAGAGGTCTGTGCAAACATTTGTGTCTGAAGTGCCAATTTTATTTAAACAGACAATGAGAAGGAAATTCGCTCTATTCCTCCTGGGTCACTGTTGTTTGCCATCAAATTTCCTCTCCCGGGGTGAACAGCCTCCTCTGTACTCTTGCTGCAATCCTATACATCCCTTGCCTGTGAGTTATTCTCACTGCATGCTTATTTCTGAGCTGGTGGCATAACACTGCACTGTAAATAAGCCTGCCCCATTGTCATCTTCTTGCAATATCCCTTGCCTCTTCCTATCACTGCACGAGGCTGTTTTCATCTAGATTGCTTACTCGGGCATAACTAGGTTCCTTGCATTCTTTTTATTATTATTAACAGCCATAAAGAAAGCTTAGATTAGAACACTGATAGCAATACAAAACACATGGAAGGAAGCTGTGTTTTTTTAAAAAAAATCTTCTATAGTTCCTCTTCCCTTTTCCATGCTCTTCCACCCCTTTAACTGCCTTGAGCTGGCCATCAAGATGGGGGTCAAATCTTGTAAACAAACCTAATCACCTTTGCCTCTGCTTCCTTGCTAGGATGTCTGGATTCATTGTGTAAAGAGCCCGGTGTAGTACTGTCACCTCCCCAACACACCAGAGACAGTGTGTGTGTGACATGGGTTGGAAAGAGTGAGCAGATGAGGAGAGGGAGGAGGAAGGGAGAAAAACATCAAAGGTTGAGCTTGAAGGAAGCCTTCTCTCTCTCTCTCTCTCTCTCTCTCTCTCTCTCTCTCTCTCTCTCTCTCTCTCTCTCTCTCTNATAGCTAAAGGGACTTAATGTTGCAATGTCTTCTGACAGATCATCTTCCTCTTCCTGATCCTTCAAGCTACTCTTTCCCATTTTCTTTTTTCTGAATGTGTTCTTTGTACTCTCCCACCTTTCTGTCTCCTTTTCCAATCCAGCTCTCCCTCATTTCACCTCCTATCTGTCACTTCCTCCCATCTGATCATTTTTTTTATCTCTGAGCCTCCATTTTCTGTTACTCTAATATTGTCCTTCCTCTCCTTTCCAGCCACTGCCCATTTCTCTTAACCCCCTTCTGCTCGTTGCCAATTCTGTTCCAGATCCTTTTCTTTCTCTTTCTTCGCTCCCTCTTTTATTCCATTCTTTTCCTTGCCTCTTTTGTTTTTGTGTTGCTTTTAAGTTGCTCTCCCAAGCCACTTTTTCCCCCTCTCTGTTTTTTTCCCTTGCTTTGTGCCTTCTCACCCCCTGAACATATCCCACCCAATCTTTTCTTTTCTTTTTTTTTCACTCCTTTTTTCCCCCCAGATTTCCCTCCTGTTTCCTGCTATCTCACACCTCCAGCAAAGATGTCTTCAACTCCTCCGCTGCCAGAATGGAAACTCCAGTTACTGGAGCGTCGACGAAAGGAGGAAGAGGAAGCCCGGCGGCGGGAACAGGAGCAGCAAGACCGCATGGCTAAGATGCCAGCTTGGAAACGGGAGATCATTGAACGACGCCGGGCCAAGCAAGGTTCCAGCACTTCTTTTTCTGAACCAAACGGACCAGGAGAAACTGAGAGTGGCCCAGCCTCTGTGCCTGCTGCATCGTCATCCTACCAAGAGGGGGAGCCAGAGAGTTCGGTGCTACAGGAGAAGATTGGCCCAGTCCACCAAAATCCTTTCATTCAGCTGGAGAAGCGCCGCCATCATCAGGAGTCTGGCCCTCCAGAAAGCGAACTTGCGAATACCAAAGCCAAACAAATAGTGGATCTGTGTGGGCAGATTCCAGGCGTCCGGACCCTGCGGGCAGACAATGTCATTATAATAGAAACAGCCCATGGGGCACCACCGGCACAGCTGGCTAGTGACCGCCACTCGGGAGAAGCCAAATCAGGCAGCATGGAGTCCCTCAACGAGCTCTTGGCCCGCCGTGGGGGCAGCGTGACCGAGATCCGTGCAGGCGAGGTCTTCATTGTCAAGTCGGCTTTGAGCCGCAGCGTGGAGGATCTCAACGCCGTGGGCCGAGCTGAGCATCGGGCATCGCTGCCCGAGCAGCGCCAAGGGCGGGTGAGCAAACTGCTCAGCCGGTTCAGCCAAGAGGACGGTGGAGGGGTGGTGATGCCATCACACCCGGTGAAGTCCCTCAGCACTGAGAATTTAACTGAAAGCACCTTTGGAGGAAAGAAGCCAGCCCATTCTTCAGTAGACTTCACCTCATCCCGGCTGCCTTGCGTCAGTCGCCTCCCGAGCCCTCCCTGCGACCTCCCGGGACTGACGTCCCCAGGGCCTTGCACTGTGGCATCTTATCGAAGCCAGTTTGAAGCTAAATCAAGCGGTGGGGAGGGCTGGCCAGATAGTCCTCCAAGGCGCTCGCCCACTGGGAAAAGATGGGGAAGGGAGGCCGTGTCCCCAGACAGAGGACCCAGGGTGGAGAGCAATGATTTGGAGGCGGCAGTGGAAAGCCACCCAGCTGAGGAGGATGTCCAGGGCAAAGCCTTGGCCAACCTGCACCTCCACTCCAGGAACTCCTTCATGGTTGTGCCACTGCGGGCTTCAGCCTCCCCTCCCCCAGAACCCAAACAGGAAGCCAGCCCTTCTCCTCCTTCAGCCAAGCCCCCAGTCCCCACTTCCTGCTCTTCACCCAGCTGTGAACAACTTCTCCCGGACGCTGTGGAGGAGCCGCCGCCCGAGGCCGAGGCCATGAGACGCAGCGGCAACAGCAAAGTTAAGGAGGATGTCAGGATGGGAGGCCTGGGCCGGGTCTCATCCCCCCATCCAGCAATGCAGCGTCGCAGTGGCAACACCATCACAATCAATCCTCGGAAGGCCTCCATGTCACCTGTCATGGCTGTGGAGAATGGCATCGAGAGCTCTCCGCCACTGGCTATGATGCCCATGAAGAAACGCTACCCCACAGTGGAGGAGATCCAGGTGATTGGGGGCTACCTCTCCCTGCAGAGATCTTGTCTTGCAAAGAACGACCGACATCGGAAAAAGGTAGGCAAGGTGCTCCTCCAAGCCCTTCTGGTCAGCTATGTATTTTGCTATTTGCAGCTATTTGCATTTTATAAACATCTGCACTTTTGCATTTGTCTTGTTCTATGGCCTTTGGGTGGCCACAACTTTTTCAGGTGCTTGCTTGTTACGCCCTCCACAACCACCATCCTGTGATTGCTATCACCTCTGCCTGCATTCTTGTTCCTTTATTCCTTTATTTCTCTGACGCTGTGGGAGATATTCACCTCAGAAAGTGAATATTTCTAGAACAATTCCATTTCTAGAAATTCTTGTTGAAGGATGCAGGATTCAACTCAAAGCTGGTAACCAAACTACTCTTTTGCCTTACTAGAACTTGATATTTTTAATGTAATACAAAACTTTGGCTTTTGTAAGGCAGATCCCTATTCCTCCCTTTTTACAGATGGGCAAATGAAGCAAAGAAAATTGAGTTTGTTCTTAGTTGGCACACATGTTCAGGACACACAAGGCTTTAAATCCCTGCCTTTCACAGTTTCAAACTCAGTGTTTTAGCCTACAGTCCCTAACTTTCCATTGACAATGTACTTGTAATACTAACCTTTCCTTTTATGCTAAATACAATAGTGCAAAATATTTTTTTTGTCTGTTGAAAGGTCCTCGGGATACAGAGCAATTTCACACCCTGCCACACACAGTAAAACAATATCTAGTACCTCTGATCACTTGTTCTGCAGAGGTCAGTGGAGTAGAGTAGAGTAGAGTAGAATAGAATAGAATAGAATAGAATAGAAGCTGGAAGGGACCTTGGAGGTCTTCTAGTCCAGCCCTCTGCTCAAGCAGGAGAACCTATATCATTTCAGACAAATGACTGTCTAGTCTCTTCTTAAAAACCTCCAGTGATGGAGCACCTATTCAAGGATTCTGTGAGGTGTTCGTTCCACAGTAAGAACAAAGATGGAAGAAGCCATACAGAAAACCAGCACCACCATCCCCAAAATTCATGAATGATTAAATCTTCATCCAGACACACTGCCTTTTTCTTCTTCTGTGCAATTTTGTCCCCAGCTGCTCTGTGTTTATCTCTTTCCACGGTTCTTCCTTTTAATTTCCTCCTTACCTTGAGTTGTCAGCAATACTCAGAGGAAGACAGCTACATCCTGTAAATTGCATTAAGGTTTCCTAATGTACAATTTAAAAAAAAAACATGCTGGATTTGAAGCTTAATCCATAGTTCTTGGTAGGGATGTTTTTATGCAAGCTGCAAAATACACTTTGGAGCTTCCTTTGTAGGGTTTCAGGGTTCACACAATGCCTAATCAAAATGAAATAACTAATATGGGCAGGTAGAATTATTTTATTCATTTGCAAATTACTTTTGCAGGCCAATTTTGAATGGCCTTTAGACATATGTGATATTTATAGACAGACCTCAGGAGTGGTGACTAAAGGCCAGCTCCTTTGTTGTGTTGACTGCATTTTTCAAGCATATTTCCAGAATACAAATCTTGGCTTACTTCAAAGAGTGATCAATATCGTAGTTGTAGTTAATATTCAACCGCTTGTTCATCCGAAATTTCATCAGGTGTTGGCTGTGACCTCTTGAAAGCAATTCCTGCTAAAAAGTCACTCGTTCCTATTATGGAACGAGACATTAAGGGGATCTCTTCTCCAATGCATTTATTTATTGGGTTTGTGTGCTACTAAATCTATATACGGTAGATTCACAGTGATTCATGGCGCATGAACAAACTTACAATATAACTTTATTAGTTAATTCTAAACCAGCAACAAAATCATACATATAATTCATATGACACTCAACCACTTTACCATTTTTTCTGAGCAATATATACCTTAACACTCCCACATGTACTTGTACAAAATGATAGAATAGAATAGAGACATTATCTAAGAAAAGAAAAGTTTGCATTTTCTGAGGAGTATGTCAAAGATGAGAGTCTTTTGAAGCTAAAATACTTTTTTTCAACTAAATATGACATTCCAGCACTGATTTTCACATATTCTGCTTAGAACCAAGCATTGGGGTGGAGACTGAGGTCTAGAAACTCTGTTTGCTGTTGAGCATGGCAGGATAAAGAAATAGTGAGGAAGGGTGATTTGACTTCCACCCTACAGTGTCTCCCCTTAACTTTAGTTTCCTCCTATCATCTGCTTGCTAAGTGCTTGCTTAGAAACTTTCCCAATTTTCAGAGGAAAATATGGTAAAATATGAATAGAAGAAGAACTAAACACCTGCGTACCATTACTTTCTATCTGCCGGTTCTCCCATTTAAGATCGCAGCGCTGCTTTATAGTGGCTGTGAAAATCTAAAGCAGAGGTCCCCAATCTTTTGGGCACCAGGGACTGGTTCCATGGAGAGAGATTTTTCCGTGGACCGGAGGGTGCGTGGTTTTGTGTGCTGCCTGCATCCCACGGATGGGGCTTTGCTTGTTTGTGTGGATCGGTTGCTGGTATGCCGCGGCCCGGTACTAGTTCACGGACCAGGGGTTGGGGACCCCTGGTCTAAAGTTTCTTGACACAGCACACTATTAAGCATTTTGTTTTTCCCTCAAAGCGTATATGTGCAGATCAGATGTGTTAATTTTTAGGATGATGTATAGAGCGGGACTGTTACCAATTTTCCTGCCCCCAAAATGAAAGTGGAATGGCAGGAAACGTGTGTAGGTGCCAGTTGGACTATTTAGTAAGAAGATTGATTGAGGTGTAGGGCTGGCAAAGCAGAAGTATATAAAAAGTCAGATGAGGAGAGAATGTAAAGAGGTCCCTAGGGTAAGCGATATAAAGTCAGAAGAAGGCATGGTCAGAGCAGCGAGCCAAGGAATGCTCTGTAGCAGCAGCCATGCATTTACTTTTTAATGGAAATAAGGCGAAACAGAGAAGATACACTATCAGACTTCCAGATAGAACTTAAGATGGGAGAAGCATCCTCGTGTTGAGATTCCATTGTGAGTTTGAGAGACAAAGGGATGTCTGATCATTTGCACTCCCTGTCTGCAAAAGGCATTAATTAGCTGGAGATTGTATTAGCATCAACAAAGATTTCCTCAGTTTTCATCCACGTCTGCTTGCCCTCTGTTAATTGTACAGGAGAGACAGATCTCTATGTTTTTTGGATAATAAGACATTCCCACTAACGTGTTGTGTCTATGGAGATTCTCAGTCATCCAGGTCAAGGTTATCTCAAAGGTGCTTTTTCAAGAGGCAACTGGACTTTCTTATTTTTCTTTGAAGACGTTTTACTTCTCATCCCAGAAGCTTCTTCAGAGCTGAAGAAGCTTCTTGGATGAGAAGCGAAACGTCTTCAAAGAAAAACAAGAAAGTCCAGTTGCCTCTTGAAAAAGCACATTTGAGACATTAAAAGTGTTGTGTTTAGCAACCTAAGAATCAGAATAGATGTGGAAAGGAGCTTTGAGGTCTTCTAGTCCAACCCCCTGCTCAAGCAGGAGATCCTGTACCATTTCAGACAAGTCCAGTCTCTTCTTAAAAACCTCCAGTGTTGGAGCATTCACTGCTTCTGGAGGCAGGTTGTTCCACTGGTTAATTGTTCTAACTGTCAGGAAGTTTCTCCTTAGTTCTAGGTTGCTCCTCTCCTTGATTAGTTTCCATCCATTGTTTCTTGTCTTGCCTTGTGGTGCTTTGGAAAATAAGTTGACCTCGTCTTCTTTCCGGCAGCCCCTCAAATACTGGAATACCGCTATCATGTCCCTCCTAGTCCTTCTTTTGTCTAGACAAGCTAAACCCAAATTCTGCAACCATTCTTCTTATGTCCAACCTAGGTCCAAGCATGTCCAATTGACCTCTTCCTTGAGCATCAGTCCAACGAACGTGAGCCTGAGGATGCAGAATTTGCTGCCCCAAGTTCACTGTGTGAAACGGGTTAGGCTGGCCTCGAGAACATCATGGTACTATTTGCACACACATTTCCACAGAAGTCTTCAGTCCTCTTCCACAAAAGCCTTTTCATCCTAGCAAGTCTACCCCATGTTCTCGGGTCACCAGATACGCCCCAAGCCGAATAGAGGCAGTCTGTCTTTTCTGTCCATCATTAGACCGTTATTTAGTTAAATCATTAGCAATTGAAGGAATCTCCCGAGTCTTTTTTGTTTTCTGCAGCTGGCTTTAAAAATGCTGCTCATTTTCTAGACCCTTGTTGTAAATATCTCCTCCCCCCCCCTTTTAGGGTTATGAACTGGGTTCCTTCTCAATCCTTCCATTTTTATTGCCAAGAAAACAGCATACACATGTTGATGAAGTCACTGGAATCAAGCAGGACTCAAAGGAAACTTTGCATTTACAAGCCATGTATAATACCCATGATGATCAGTGAATGAAAAGGAGGTGGGGTGCCCAGAGTAACTAGCTAGCAATTTAACTAAATATAGGCCTTATGCAGATCTTTTGTCAGCTTTTCATTATCACTCATTAAGGAGATCCCTTCTGGTAATTAGTTACCGCTGGAACGCAGAGTTCTTCTGTGTATTATACTACACTCAGTTAATAAGTGTAAATGGATTTTAAGATTCTTGGCTTTTCAAAAGAAACTTTGAGCGTTATATTTAGAAGACAGGGAAGTGGTTGGAGAGAAAGATTTGGTCATTTTAAGGAGTACAATTAGGCATATTCCAGGCTAATGGCTCAGGGTCTTGAGTTTCTTGGAGATCACCTATCAAACACAAAAAATCAAAAGTCCAGGTAGTTCAGATGAATAGATACAGGTTTATTGTATGCTGAAACTGTACAAGAATCTGAACTACTGTCAAAGTTGGTGGTAGATAAGAGTCAAGGCAATGGTGGGATTCAACATCTGGTTCTCTGCATGGATGCAGGCCTGGGTCTCTGAGGCCTAGAATGGACTTCTGGAAGTGACATCCATACACTTCCTGTGGGCTGTTCTAGGCCTGGGAGACCTCCTCCAGGCCTTCGAGTTCTAGAATGGACTTCCAGAAGTAGCATGGGTTCAGCCGGTTCTCTGAACTCAACAAAATTTAGCTACTGG